TCACGAATTCTACCTGCTGAAATGCGCACAGCGATTCAGACCATGAAGACGTCCACGGCTCCAGGACCAGACCATCTTTCCGTCGAATTTCTGCGAGCTGGAGGACAACGTCTACACGAGGTTCTAGCGTCGCATGTGACATCTTACTTTCAGAAGGATAAGATTCCCGACTAGTGGAAAACATCAAGAACCGTCCTTCTTTTTAAGAATGGTGAACGGGAAGATCTTCGGAACTACCGTCCGATATGCCTGCTGAGTGTGCTGTGCAAGCTTTTCACGAAGGTTATCCTCGCTCGCATATCTAGGACACTGGATGGAGCCCAACCCCAAGAACAAGCTGGATTTCGCAAACGATTCAGTTGCATGGACCACATCCAGACGGTTTCGAGGGTTATAGAAGTCTGCCGGGAATACCGACTGCCTCTCGTCCTAACCTTTGTCGACTACGAGAAAGCCTTTGACAGCGTCGAAAACCAACGCCATCCCGTCTGCGCTAGTCGATCAAGGAGTGGACCCAGCATAGAGGACGTTAGCCGACTGTTACAAGGACTGTAGAACGACGATGCAGCTGTTCCATCGCCCCCCTGACCATCCCAATCGGGAAGGGGGTCCGACAAGGCGACATAATTTCGCCGAAGCTGTTCACCGCGTCCTTGCAGTGAGTGATAAAGTCACTGGACTGGGACGAGAGAGGCATACGATTTGATGGGAGATTCCTGTCGAACCTTCGTTTTGCGGACGACATCGTTCTCTTTTCGAGCAATATCACTGAAGCAGAGACGATGCTGAAGGAACTGAAGAAGTAGGGAAGAAGATCAGATTGCGAATCAATCGGAAGAAGACTCAGTTCATGAAGAACGCCCTTTGCGAAGATTTATTTATTTATTTTATTTATTTATTTATTGCACCAAAAGTGCGCCATCGACTAGTCAAAAATCTGGACAATAGTCATGGCGAGTAAAAACGAACTCAGATAAAAGTATCATTCAAAGAAAAAAAAGTTCTTAGTTTTGATACTACCAAACTAACATGAAAGGAAATGAAATTATAGCATCCAAACTTGACCACTATATTACCTGTTCAAAAAAGTGAGCAGAATTGGAGTTGGATTAACAGCGCCAGCGGTAGTTTTCATATTTTCTTGTACTTAAGCGACCAGATTTGAAACAGGGTGAGAGTAAGGCGAATGGGCTAAACCATGCGTGCCTAGACTAATTCACTGAGCTCACCCTAAGTACTTCTCCGGCAGTCGAATGTAGAATGATGTGACATTGTGTAAGTGATCAAAGTAGTTTTCTGCCATAATTACGGTAAAAGTAGAAAAAAAACGTCTGGTAGAATCAATTTGACATGTAAATGGAATTAAGTAAGTTCGTATAGTGCATCCTGTGTCATTTGTTCGTAATAAAGCTGGCATCAGTATAGCCAAGGTAGCAGAACTCCATAACACAATACAAGAAGGACTGATGAGAGAGTTGACCAAATAAGATGAAATTCAACTGAAATAATACGCTTTAAAAGGGTAGATGTGATTTTTCACCTTCGGTCAATTTGATCAACTTAGCCTTCAAAGAACGTGCACAGCGTGAAGCAATTAAATCCTTGGGTAAGAGCTGAAACCAACGTGCAATCCTACAAAACGGATTATTATGCATTTTGTCTTTATTGTAACTCATAATCTTGACATGATGAAGGTTGAAGCCTCCTATTCTCTGACTAGCTGGCATAAAAATCCAGTATTTACTTGGTTTTAGTCTGGTTTCTCCTCTAAGCACTTGAAAACAAAAAATTAGGTCAGAGATATTACGACGAAAGGAGAGACTTTGTAGATTCAGCTTTTTTAGTCGTACTTCATAAGCAGGAGGGGCATTACTGGGAGAAACTCTTCTGTACAACAGACGCGTAAAAGTTTTTTGCACTTTTTCAAGTTTTTCAATGTCCTTTTTTCGATTCGGGTTCCACACCTGGGAACAGTATTCTAGGTGGGGACGAACTAGAGACTCGTAGAGACGTGTAAGAAGCACAGGCGAGTTAGTTCTTACACTTCGAAAAAGTACAAACGAAAAAGTATAAGCTCTCCTGATAACCGCATCAATCTGTTCAGAGAATTTGAGCTTCGAATCAATAATGACTCCTAAATCCCTAACTGAGGAACACACCTTCAAAGTAGTATCATCTACCACATAAGTGCCTGCATGCTGATCACCCATATGTAAGACAAAACTTTTACTCAGGTTGACTGACAGATGCCAACGATTGGCCCAAGTGATCAGGTTAGTAAGCGATTGTTGCAATGCTGATTGTACCTCTATTCGATTATCACAACTGTAAACACCATATATTTTTATGTCATCTGCATATAGTTGTATTCGTATGTCTGGGGACGTTCGAAAAGATGCAGAAATGGAATTGAAAGGCACCCCTATCACGGAGACGTCTTCTTACGTGTATCTCGGACGTTCGATGAACATGGAGAACGACTTGAGGGAAGAACTTAACAGAGAAGAAGAGCAGTCTGTGCCGCCTTCGGGCCTCTGAAGGAAGCCACCGTCCAACTGACGGACCTGGAGCTTCGTGCCCACCTGTTCGACTCAACCGTTCTCCCAGCGCTCTGCTACGCAGCTGAGACTTGGGCTGACACTGTAACCACGTCGAAAGCTTTACGTTGCAGTGCGGATATGAGAAATTGTCCCGTCTTCGTGGCCCAGCGGAATATGTAGTGAAAGTGAAACACCGATGAGCCGGTCACATTATGATAAGAACAGACGACAGATAAACACTAAGAACATCGGAGTGGATTCCTCGCAAAGCAAAACGTCCCCGAGAAAGACCTCCAACGAGACGGGCAGACTTGTTCGTCAAACGAATGGACCAGCTGAGAAATCAGCTGGATACGATTTTTGCACCTGGAACTCGTGCCACCGACGTCAGCCAAGAAGATCGTGGATGTCTGAAGCGAGGGACAGGGAGAAATGGAAACTTCTGAGCTGGGGCCCGCACGTCACGTGAAGCCGGGCCATCTAGGTATCTAAGTAAGTATTTAAGTAACAGCTAAACATATCTGCGAAAATTGTCAGCAGGAGGCACACCGATATTCCCAGAGAGACGAGCAAAGCTTTAATGATTGCCTCTTTAAAGGAAATTTATGGGCCACAGAATAACCAAAACGACTACCTATATTGAAGCGCAGAAATCTCAGTATTCCTCGAAAATATCAAAGTGTGCCCAATGTAAACGATTTCTACCACATACAGCAGCTAAGTTTTTAGTAGAGAATTCTGGCCATAAGATTAAGTGCAATAAAATTGTGGCTTCGATTGCGGCTGTATGAAGGTCTATTGATTTTTAACGAATGAGGTTAGAAGTTTGTGGTTATCACTGGATGTGGGATAAAAGAAGTTCCTTGATAGTTACAAAGATAGTGTGCTAAGTTTTTTTTTTTTCAAGAAAGTCTGATGGAAAAAAAGCTGTCCTGAAAGAAGCGCTAAAAAAGCGCATGGTTTTTGCACCAGCTTAATACCAGGTGACAGTGGTTCTGACGAGACTGTTATTGTATAGAAACTCAAGAGTTTTTTCTTTTCTCATGCGAGTTTCTAAGGTCATGTAAGTACAAGCGAGCGCACTTGTGCGCAAGTTGTGTGGCGTAGTGGATAGTGTGCTAAACTGTGAATATGAAGCACTTGTCGAGTCGAGATCCATTTTAGGACTTTTGCCAATATATGTAAATTTCTTTTTGGACACAAAACCACGACAACTTCGAAACATTCGTTTTCCCTAAAGGCACAACGAAATTTACTAACACTTACTTCACCAGGTGAATGATATCTGAGAAAGAACAAATTTATGTTATCAGAGGTGTTCGGCAAAGTGATTGAAAGCACCGCTTTTGGAGAAAATCTTAATCCCGTGGAGACGCAATAGGCAAAATTCTGACAAAAACGAAATTTCGATTGAAATACAATTTTTTGGCATTTATCGTCCCAAAATGGATGCATATTTAGCAGCATTGAAAATGACATTCCGAGTTCAATAATGTTGTTATGGTAATTGCACATAATGCCAAGCTTGTGTTTTGAGCTTTTGACTGCTGCTTTTGGAACTGTAATGAGCATTTTTTTCTATCGACGATTCATAACGAGCAGACTAGGCGTCGTTGCATCCAAAACCGATAGCTCATGCTGTAGGGAGAGAGCAGACGGTATCTAAGAGAAAAAAGTGAAAGTGCGCTTGATCAGTGAAACCCCGATACATCCGCAGTCTTTGCCATTACTTGCCTATGACTTCTTGCAACGCTCAGTTAAAAAATTTAATATTGCTTACGTTTTAGGCTGGGTTCATAATGGACACGAAGTCCGGCACAGTTCTCGCACTGTGCTGTACCCGCTGCAGCCGCCGCATGCGGTTCTGAGCGGCGCGAAATGACACTTTTTGACTTTCTTCAACGGGTTCAATTGCAAGGCACTCCCATAATTGATCCGCTTGATCCGCACTGTCATTGATCAGTTCAGTGAACTGACCAATAGCGAAATTTGTCCACTTGATCCGCTTGATTCACTTCATCCACTTCACTCTTGGTCAGTTCAATAAATTGACGAATGACGAAGCGGATCAAGCGGACCAAGTATGGCGCGTGCCTACACTTTGCCCATTTTCTTCTCATTCTCGCATCTTACTTCTTCTTGTGATATAGAAGTTTATGAACTTAAAGCGAAATTTGTGGATGAAACTCTTTCATGCCGCCCCATCCATTTGTAATTGTATTTGTTTAAAAATACCTAAGTAAGGAGTAGACAAGATTTTAAATTTTTTCCGCTTATAGTTCAAATTCATCCGTAAATAAACAACCATAAGGCTTGCAATTGAACGCAGAATTCCATTTCATAAATACGTAACAAGCACCTTTCGGTTAATCTTTTACATGCTGGATAGCAACATTCGCCGATCATTATGCTCTGCTAGTTGTTTGTATAAAAAAAACTTTTATCGACAATGAAATTCACTGATACTTTGTGTTGAAAAGATAGCCGATCAACTACAACAGTCAAATCACGCAAATCAATGTAGAGCGATTTTCTTGCATACAAATGACCTCACTTTGGTGGAGCACCTGAAGTCATTCCATTTGTGGTAATGTAAAGAGTATCCTTGTTCTGCAGCTTCAAAACGGTCACTGAATAGCTGTAAAAAAATAAAGAAGAAAGTGATGTAAAAAACTTTTAAAAAAGTAAAAGAGAGCAAGGGCAGCACGCTCAAATGATCGCTAGCGTTGGTCAGCAAGTAACTCCTTTTTTTGCGTCGTGCAATCTAACAAGGAGAGGATACTTAGTCGAAAGCACCAATCCGGATGAAGCATATATCATCTCAAAGCGCTTAAACGCTGACTCCAAATCTGTAGTTTCTGGCTGCGGAGCGGTTTTGTAGAAGGAGTTATGGGGGGTGTTCCCCTCTAGGGTTCTCTCTCCTTATCTATGAGCACTGCGAAGCAGGTGGCGGCTGGTGGCAAGTGGCCTAATGGTAAGTCTTGAATAAAGATTACAATAAGGATTACTTTGATTTTTTAACACTTCTAATTTCGATTAGCATCCATCAGAGATTTCAGGCTTTAGGGCTCTGAAGCCATTTAGAAGCTCAATTTGGCAAAAACTGCGATACAGTTGCATGCCAAGGGGGTTAAAATCCTGACACTCTTCTTATCAAACACGTCACTTACCACTATGTAGGTCAGTTGCCACCAGTTGGTACTCCTCTACAGGGCTCATAGGTAGGGGGAGACCTGGTGGAGGGCGCCTCAACCCCAGAGGAAAACAACCCTCATAACTTCCTCTACAAAACCGCTCCGCAGCTAGAAACTGCAGATTTGGAATCAGCGTTTTAAGCGGTTTAAGATGGTATATGTCACATCTGAATTGGTGCTTTCGACTAAGTATCCTTTCCTTGTAAGTGTATGGGACAACTTTTTTGCCTTTATCAAGTCAATTGACTAATTTTGGAAACTTCGCAAGATATCTGTCATGCTTAATGAACCAACAGAGCCCGGCATGCGTCATCTTCTAGCTTTTCTGGAAAGACAAAAAGAAGAGCAGTTTAGGATAAGCGGCACTTCAAATGGAGTTTGTTTGAAGCGCGGCACTCTTTATAACATGTTTTGTGTAATTTGAGAAAGAAAGGCAACGATAAATTGATTTTTTCTTCCATAAACAGTTGGCAACGGAAGCAGCTCATAATGGAAAGACCTAAAACTAATTTGAATTCACAAAGTGCGCTTCAAACTGCCTCTGGTTCCTGGTGTTTTGGATAACGATTGATTCGGGAAAAAGTGTTACGCATAGAGGAACGTACAGTTAGAACGTACAGTTCTATTAGGCACCGCCTCCACGGATTACTGGTCCAAATCAATATACACTAGCACATGCTGGAATACTTATCCTCCAATGTGGTGCCGAATCGAGATATTTGTTTTTCTGCGCAGATGTTGCTTCGCATAAGTTTGCTCTTTTTACATAATACTTGTGTGGATAATATTTTCATATACATATACACAGTCCAACGTTGTCATATGCATGCGTCACCGCGATGAAAAAATGTCATTGGTTTACTTAGTGCATTCAATGCGCGCTTTGTGGAAAATTGCGCTGGAACAGATCATCGTGCTTAACTTATACAGGATGCCCAAACATATGCCTACTTGATTTTTGATATTTCTCTTGTCAGTGAGTTTTTCGAGGAGCTTTAGCTATCATTTTGTGGAGCTGACTTCGACTTAAATTTACAGTATGAACCGAATTATCGTTGCCACTCAATTACTGCAGGATCGGTAGGAGCTTTGAGGAAGGTTTTGCATCATTAAGGGTCAAATTTTACACCTAAGAAAGGACTAGGGGAGCTGAATTTTCCTACACTAAGGTAATAAGAGCCGCAATTTCAGATACGAAACTTGTACTTCACTGCAACGCTTTTCTCATAAGTTATGCCTATCGTAACAACCTATTTTTGATGTTCGTCAAAATTTTGGTTACGCCATTTGAAAAGCTAGGCGCAAAAAAGTTTCATAGTGATTTTAGCAGGCATGAAAACCTTGTTACAAAATTATCAAATTTTTTTTTGGAAATTTTTCGAACGACCTATCTTTCAGTGGCGCCATATGCTCAGTTCTCACCGTAATCCTACAAAATGAAGTAAGATTGGTAATTTGCGCCATACTGTAAATCTAAGTTGAAGCCAGTTTTACGAAATGGTACTTAAACCTTCTCGAAAGATTCCATGACAAGAGAGTTATCAGCAATCAAACAGTAGGCACACTTCTTCTGAGACGTCCTGTATTCTGAGTTTTTGCCCGCTTTGTGCGGCTTATATGCTTGCATAGCATATTTCACGGCATCTCCTTCGCCTTTTGTGTGAAAACGAAGTCCAGACTGCCTTCAAGACTTCCGCGTAGGCCCTAGATACATCGTACTTGCCCCTGATAAAAAAATATGTGGTCTATAAAAGTATTTCATTAGACTTGATTGACTCTCTGCACGCAATTTCCCTGGACAGTACAGGCAAAATTGACAGAAAGTAATTTCTTTTAGATTGATGTTTTTTGGCATTTATCGTCCCACAATGGCTGCATATTCAAGAAACATGATGATGGTGCATTCCTCATTCAATAAACTGGCGAAGCAATTGCGCAATTCCATGCTTGTGTTTTGAGCTCTCACGGTCAGTCATTTTAAAAACTGTGGTAACGAAATTCCTCGACCTCATTTGCCTATAATCAACTGGCAACGCGTTATCCAAAAATTTTGTCATATTTGCACGATGGATGGAAAGATTTCGACCTACATATGTAATGCAAGATTAAGCCAGAGGTATCTTTCTCGTATGCAAAGATAGTAGTCCTGTTCGCAGCGATATTCATGCTCGCTCTCGAGAAGAGAAATCAAACTACCCTTACTTTATTGGTAAAATGTTCTTTGATCCTCACACCAAATGCCCTTCCGGTTTCACCTATCGCGTGAAGTCTGTCCGGGGCCTTACGTAACACTGCTCGGCAGAACGACAAAATAGCGCTCTGTCTTCCCTTCGTCTCAGATGAAACTAGCGTTGCAATACGACAGAGCATTAAACGAGCACAGTTGAGCATCGATGTCATTTTGGTACATACTGAGCGATGATCTGAAGGAACAGCTTGTACGGAACAGGCTCTATGACAAATGCTGTGTCTCGAAAGAGTGTGTAGGTTGTCTTTAAAACATCATTGGAGATTGCGCCAAATAGGAATGATATATCAGTTAGTGTTTACTCTGTGGTGTATATAGGTACCGGAAGGGCACTTGGCGTGAAATCAAAAAATATCTTACCAATAAACGTAAGGGTGGTTTAGTTTCTCTCGGGGAACATAAGCATGAACACCGCTGCGACCAAGACTTCGAAATCAAATGTACAGTCTTAGCATACGAGGAAGGTACCTCTGCCCGGAAGCTCTTGAAGCATTTCCGATCACGCGCAGAACACCGCTTATGAACAACAAAAACGAGTGCTTATCCGTTACGAATGACACCACGCCGTTTTTAACACTATGTGGGCTAGGAAAGAGTAGTGCGATATTTATCTACAATATGCCCCAAATGTGACTTATTGGCACTATTGTCGTCAAGGATACGGTCGCACCATAACATCAAGTGCGCCGACGATAAAGCAAAGGTGTGCTCATCCTTCTCATCCTGCAATTTTTGCTTGTAAAACTCTAAAGGGGATCGAAAAGCTAGCCGAGGGTTGATGAAGCACTTGGTGGAGCAGAAAAAGGTCACTAATCTTGCACCGCTTCAGGCCTTTGACGACAAGTAGCCGAAACGTAGACCACTGATGGTAATACTTCACCCAAACCTCGTGCTGGCAAAGCAACACTAATACAATTTCAAGTATGCCGAGGCTTCAACAAGAGAGGACAAAAGACTTGCTGCGTGTTTTAGTTTTCGACCATTTGTCATCTTTGTGTTGAGAAAAGCTAAGCTTCCGAAACGACCCAGTAAACATTGATACATTACTGGTAAAGAAATATTGACGCAAAAACGATATTTTACAGCTGCGGCGCATTAACAAATAGAGTTAATCCTGTCATTATTGCGTGAGTAAAAGAGAAACCAGACTCTGTGAAACCCAACTTATTCAAACTTTTGAGGAACATGGATTCATACACTTTGTTTTGTTTTTTTTTTGAAAACTTGAGAACTTAAATCAGGGGAACGTTACATCATCTGCACTTTTAAAATGCGAAAACATATCAACTCTTTGTTATCGACGATTTAGTCGATCTGTCATGTGCGCGCAACAGCATATTTGATTGTGAAGTGGTGACGGAGCATTTTCGAAAGTCAGCTCAGAATGAGGATTAGTAAAAAAAAATAAGAAATTTTTCTAATGTGGTTGTAACACTTTGCAGTAAAAAGCAATGTCTCAAAATGTCAGCGATTGTAACGTTGCAATGAAAGTGGGCATATGCTCGCTCAACAAAATACTTCCGTATACTAAAGCGAAGGATTTTCGTGAAAGTTTGCTCTCAACATTTCCAAGCTACCCTATTAGGGTACCTAAGTTTTGCTACTAATTTCGTAACTTTTCTCTTTTTCACTGTGAAGTATCCGCGAAGCGAAGTGAAGGAAATTTATGCATTTTACAAAAGCTGGGTAAATTCGAAAAGTCAAGGTTCTAAAACCAGAAATAAAGCTGTCTCAGTCTGAGTCGAATCAAGCCGAAACTGTGTACACCATTAGAGGTTTTTCTATCAACAATCTGGGCACAGTTTCGGCTTGTTGTTTTTGATTCAGACCGAGAACGGCTTTACTTTTGGTTTTCCGACCCTTGAAATTTCGAATTTGACTAGCTTTCGAAATTTGTGTAAATTTTTCCACGCTACCAAAAATAAAAATGTATGCGCACAGCTGTAGCGTACTACCTGATCTACATTATGCCCAAAAATAAATGCGTCACAGTCAAAAAAAGAATTACCAAATAGGTTGCAAGATTATGTGCCAACTCAATACATACTATAGTCGATTTGTTGGGCTCACGGACTGGACATCACTGCGGAACACGCGCCGCGAGTTAAAACGGTTGCCCCTATACAAATACGACATTGCACAAGTTGCGCTCCTGCAACATTTCAGTAGGCCGCATGTGGTACGCAGGCTCAGACATTCGCGGTTAAATCCTGTAGAAGATCCGCACACAAAATGAGAAATCGCGAGAAAATCGGTATCTTGCGTGACACCCGGATTTGTCCCGAGTTTCGGGAGTATCCCGACAGTAAAAATGAAGCAAGAGTTTATCGGGAGACGCGATTTGCTCTCAGTTTACTTATAATCATGTTCGCTCTTGAAAAGGGAACTGCCTGAGACGTTTGCTTGAACAGATAAGCGATTGAAATTGAACGCACGCTGCCATGGTTCGTCACCGGCTAGCGCCACACTTTTGCTGTGCCACTTCGCCGGTGATTGGATCGCAACATTATCGGGTCTCCAGCAAGAGCTCGCGATTTTCTCAGTAGAAAACATTTCGGAACAACCGCGCGTGTCCGCAGCATTATCCCGAACGAAGTGCAGGAGTCCCTGTTTTCTCGCAAATCATTTTATTTGTGTCCCGCAGCCATTCCGTCGGGACACAAAGTTTTCACCAGCGAATGTTTGAGGGGTTTGAGCAGTCCGTGCAGTCAACGAATCGATGAAGCCCGAATAAGGGTTTCAAAAGTTAATTAACCCAGACGCTGCCCAAGTACGAAAAACACAACTCATTGAGTCAGGTGACGGTTGTACAGTTTTCACTCCGACAAACATCACTTGCGCTGACTTTGAGTTCACTTGTATCATTGATGAAAGTGATACCTCCACACAGCCTTCATTTCCGTTCGCGTTATTCGGTTCATTCGGAGCCCACGCTAGAAATTTAGCTTTTGTTCCGTCTGTCCAAAGCCATTCCCCGTTTGGGGAGTCAGCCCGTCTCAAACCTATCCACGTTGCACGTGCATGTATAAGATCGAAAGGCCATTCAAGTCCCGTCTCTGCCAAGTCTGAAAACAAGTCAAATTATGTTAGTGTTTGTTATTTAAACAAAGCGAAATTGGGTTAACCGGCTACAAATTGGTTTTCATTAGCACTGTGGATTGAGGCCAGATGTGCTCCATAATTCCTACAACGGCTTTCAGCGTTGTAAAAGGTCTCCCAGCGGAAAATCTGCAGAAAATATTTATAAGATGATTTTCAGATTGCTTTGATACTCGTAAGAGATTTGCTTGCGTATCTACTTCGATTTGACCCATAACGAATATCTGCTGCAACTTATTTCAAGTTGCATTTTTATCAAAATCACTCATAACGGTGTTTTGTATGGAACAAGTTCTGAGTGGCAAAAGCTTGCATGCGCACACATTGTTAGATTTTCCTTCAATTTAATTTTTGGAGCAAAAAAAATTAGCCCATTTTTAACTTTGCATCAAACTACTTTGTTTTGCTTGAACAAAAATCAAACTGTCATGTCGTTTGATTTCTCACATAACCATTTGAGAAGTTTACGACACGTTTACATGTTGGGTTTGGAATGTTGCATTACTTACAAAATGGCTATGACTTCACACTTTTTCAAATACATTATAAATATGTGAACAGTTGAACACACTTATGCTGGCAGCCAATATCCGAATATAGTAATTTTCACCCTCAGGACTATAAGTACTTTATCTTGCTTTAAAACATCCAGTGCTTTACATGCAAGTATTGAAGTACTGCAAGTATTGCATGCATGAACATTGAATGCTTCTGAAAAAAAAAATTTTGTAGAAGTACTCAACTTCATACCTTGCATGTCAAAATTACTCCTTTACAAAAGTTATCACGCACCTTATAGCACGAATCCGTTTCGTCGAAGTATGTCCATCCATTTTCGCAATGACCAGCGCACGCTGAAAAACACTTCACAACCTACAAGCAAGACGTAGTGAAATTGCTTAGTGGACTGACAATGGAGACAGTGATAGCTCACCCATAGATGCGATAGGTGGAGAAATTTTTCTGACCCCTCACTTTAGGGCCGGCATCTGGCTGACCCCTTTCACTTGAGGTTGAGAGTGAAATCAAGGCATAACGGCAGAATTAAACAGTTGTTAAAACGGCGCTTTTTGTTTGGAAAGGGAACGTCAGCTGCTCTTCTTCTTAGACATCAAGACTGCAAGAGAGCATCGAGGCAACAGCGTTTTGTTGAAAAAACGCATGCGAGACTTCGCCCAGTCAAAGTGGCTTTGATAACGAAGCATGTCTGATGTTTTGAATAATTAACATTGTATCAATGAAAGTTGTCGTGCAACAAAGAATCAAGCAATAGTAGAAACTCTGGACTAGCTAGAGATGGATGCATGTTTACTGATAAGAATCGTACCATATTCCTCCCACTAGAAAGATTAATCATAATTTATAATGGGCTAAGGTTGCTTACCTCGTGTGTGTGTTGTGTTTGTGTTTGTTTGTGTTTGTGTTTGTGTGTATGTGTGTGTGTGTTTGTGTGTGTGTTTGTGTTTGCTTGTGTTTGTGTTTGTGTTTGTGTGTGTGTGTGTGTGTGTGTGTGTGTGTGTGTGTGTGTGTGTTTATGTGTGTGTTTGTGTGTGACGGATGGCCACTTAGCTTCTGGCCCGCAAAAACGGGTTCGTTATCACCACTTTTTGCAAAATCGTGGGTGTGTTTGGCATATTAATGTCTAAGCCATAAACTTCAGTCCAAAGAAGTGATGAAAAGTCTATAGATTACGAAAGTGATGCCAAAAACGAGTCGCACAAATGGTCAATTTACCAAGGTTTAACCTGGACATTCACGAATATTTTCTCACAGGGATGTAGCTCACGGTGATTATTGTCCTTATGCCGACTATCACTTCAAGAAAAGTTCAAGAACCTATTCAAATATGCGTTTCTTCTTCTGCGAAAAGTTTCGTTCATACAAAAATTATCGATTTTGCATGAAAAAGCATTTAGAATGAGTAGCTGTTTGCATTTTATTCGTAACTAGTTGGCTTTCCCGGTCCAGCCCGGGCCATTGTCTCCCTGCACTGCGAGTCCCCCCCCCCCTCTTATATTTTATGGATGACTTACCCTGGGACATCCGCTTCGAAACCGCATCCTCGTGATCCTGAGGTGAAAATGAGCTTCACTCCCCTTCTTTACATGACTATGGGGAAATGCTTGATTAAACATGATAAGCCTTCAATTGCTTAGAAAAACGTAAACAAATCAATAAATCGATAAAAGGACCCAGCGAATTTTAGCAAAAAGTATCCTAAAACCGTCTCCGAAGTCAAGAACATCTGCATGCAAAGTTTTAGCCCAATCGGTGCAGCGGCAGGCGATTCTATAGCTCACATACCTTCCAAACAGACAATTTTTGAGTTATATATATATATACTAGCTGGCAAACCCGGCTCCGCCCGGCCCTGTCATTATTATATTCGTAATCAGCATGCTCGATTACCCCCCTGTGCCAATTCCCAGCCCCGTAGCTCAAATTTTGCAAAAAATCGATAAAATCGATATCGATCGATGACGAAAAGTAGCCTATGACACGCTCCCTGCCCCGAAGTATATGTGTGCCAAGTTTGGTCCAAATCGGTTCAGAAATAAAAATTTCTATTCCGCACATACGTACAGACATACAGACAGACAGACATACAGACATTCAGCTTCATATATAAGATATATATATATATATAGTCGGCATCCGCGCTGTGTTTCGATGCCATCATTAGGCAAAAATGAGTAAGGTATTGAAGTATGACCAGTGCAAGCCTCTGCGAAGCAGAGGTGACGCACTGGTAACAAATAAAAGAGCAGTTAGATTGTACGTTTCGCAAGCTTTCGAACTTCGAAAAAGACCACGTCTTGGTTACAAAAATGAAGCATGGGACAATTAAACAGAATTGGCTGATATTGTAGATAAAACTGCTCCTATCTCGTTTCACAGAAAAGCTAGGAAAAAGAGACGGTCTACGTCTTCCTCGTGTTCTTAGCTATCGAATAATTTACAAAGTGTTGGTGCATAAAGCTTTTCCGGTCCAAAAAAGTCTTGTTGCGGCGACCCATACAAGCCAAGAGCGGTGTGAAGCAAACTAGTAGTAAATATCTTCACCACAATTTTGGAAACTCACAAGTTTTTTCACTCAACAACTTATATACCATTAGAAAGCTCACGAAACAGGGATTCGACATAGACCGTCTTTTTTTCTCTAGCTCTCCCCTACTCGGAGATACATGGCATTTTAGCTAAAAACATGTGTGTTTTTGTGAGGAAATTTTCATGCAAAGAGTGAATGAAGATGCCCAGTTACCTATCCCTATTACAGAGCAAGACTTTGCCAGTAAACGAGCAATCGTCTCTTTTTTCTAGCTTTCCTCTTTCTATCAAAAATGGAGCGCAGATTGCATAAATTGAGCTGATGCTGAAGCTAGATATAATTTTTTGTATCTGAATTCACAGAAAAGCTGAAAAAAGACGGATGGTACGTCAGCTGATGAAACATAAAGCTTTCCGGAGTCAAAAAGTCTCTGTTGGATGACCTTCCAAAGCCTAAGCACTGAGAAACCTTCATTTTACAGTCTGTCTCAACTGGGATCAGACCGAACTGTTGGCGTAAATTTGTGCGCTCGCAGCGCTAGCATTCTGCGCTGCGTATGCGCGCTGTCGGAGAGAGCAAAAGGATTGCAGAGAGAGCAGAGGCAGACCGTGCTCAGACAATCGCCGGGGGCAGGCGGGCACCGGAAAAATAGATTGCTGATCTCTCGCACCCCGCTCGCGGATTTTTTGGAAAGCAATCAGGACTTTTCGGAAGACCGTTTGCTGAGTTCTCGATTCCTCAGAGTTCAGCAATATATCTGCAAAAGATAAGAGCGGAAAAAAATTCAACAGGCGGTCTCTCAAAAATCCGCTGACTCAGCAAGCGGTCTTCCGAAAAGTCCTGATTGCTTTGCAAAAAATCCGCGAGCGGGGTGCGAGAAATCAGCAATCTATTTTTCCGGTGCCCGCCTGCCCCCAGCGATTGTCTGAGTGGGCGTGACCACGAAAACCTAGCGACGCAGACTACCGCCATGCCAATTCTGGCCTGGTTGGGATTGGGGCAGACTGTACACCTCTGTACCACTTATTTTCCTTTCTTTCACTCCCGCTTCCGTCGGGCATGTAGGCTTGCGTCAGCATTCATCTTAAGGCTCAATTACCCCCTCACTTTTCTAGGTCGAAAATAGCCAAACCCCCTTCACCCGGAGGCGACCCTGCTTCTCCTATTGCATCTATGAGCTCACCTAGCAGATCAAATTCACATATAAATTCTAAAGACCGAACATACAAAAATTGAAACCTTTCCCGAAAAAATCCTACCGAAATCTAACGCTTACGAACATATATCTTTCATCAGACATCAGGGTATCCAAAAAACGCGGCTATTATTTGGTTGTTGATAACTCTTTCGTGAAAAAGTCTTTCGAGAAGCTTTGAGTACTATTTTGTAGAGCTGGCTTCAACTTAGATTCACATTATGAAGCGAATCACCGCCTCTCCATTTCTATAAGGTTACAGTTGGAACTTCAAGGGAGTTTTGAGCTCTGAAAGGCCATAATTTGCCTTAGAAAGCAAACAAAACGGACTGTAAACTTTCACACTGGGCTATCAGAATTGCTGGGTCTAAGTTTGAAGTGCGCAACTTATCACAATGATCCATCAAAAAGTCATGTGAGGTAAGCGGTACCTGCTGTTTTTTCAACTCTCCCAAAAAAGTGCGGTTACGCCGTTTAGAAAGCTTCGTAATCTTGTACATAGTTGAGTATTAGACTCAGCATCCATGGAAACCCTATTACACAATTTTTACATTTTTGAAAATTTTTGAAACGGCAGCTTTTTTACAGCGACACTATATGCTTGAAGTTTCCATCGGCGATTTGCTCTAACTACAAACCTAAGCTGTAACCAGCTCCACATAACAGTTTCTAAAGCTTTTCGAAAGACTTCATTACGAGAGAATTATTGAGCATCAAACAGTAGGAACATTTTTTGGACCCTGTATTACAGTTGCTGTATTTTTTCCTAGGAAACTATGAAAACAAAACTTTTTGTGCCTTTCAAAAACGTCTTGTAGTTTTGTTTCGAGACAAAAAAAATTACGCAATGAACCTGCATTCGAACAATTGAGATACGAGTAGCCACGAGACTGGGCAGAGCTTCTGTAAGTTCCATATTTTCATGTAGATTTGCTTTGCTAGAATGAAAGACAAACCTGAAGATTTGCTTGTTGCTGTTCGGGTCTATGAAACTTATGGCTAATGGAAATAATGTGAACAGGAGAAGATTCATTGAACGCTTTCTGAATACATAGTTTCACTGTTCCATTTGATCCACTTGTAAGGAATAAAAGTTGAAGAGTACCCTCGGGGACAAATGGGGAAAACTTTGCAAATATAGATGATCATAGCCTTTCGTTAGTGTCCTCTTGATCATAGCTTTTCATTATTTGATGCGAGTGGGATGGAATTTATTAATTTTCCTACACAGCTTTAGAAAGATTATCAACCTTCTATTCATCTCAGAAGTTCTATCATAATCAAATTTTACAAGGTCCTTGCGTCCAGGATCCGGCAAGAGTCCGTTTTCTGTCTTTTTGAAAATCCCCCCGACTTTCACAAATCTTTACAAGCCCCTTTGGCCCTTTTAGGAAGCGTCGACAAAAAAGCCTAACATAACTGGTGTTTTTCAACGCCACAGAAACGATAAATTCTTTGTTTTTTTTTTGCCCCGAAAACGAACTCCATTCTGCTTCCAAACGATCTGTGCCGGACCCTACTTGCTTCTCTAGAGCAGGTGCCGCTAAGCTCACACATAGATGAAGCTTATACGAGTGCGTAAATTTAGGCTAACCATTGTTACACATTCTAGATAATGCGTAACCATCTACGCAGCAGAAAGCTTCAATACTTCTGAAGTTTTATTTGATTTATAATGCTTATTCGTGACTTTATACTTGGTGACTTGTATTCAAGCTTTCAAAAGTTCTAACTTTAAACTAGCTTCACTGAATATGATGCAAAGCTGCCCTTACAGAAACATAGTAGAAACTCATCGGTACAACTTCTCAGTTGTACCTATGTATGTACCTTCAAGAAAATCCCTTAGCATCTTGTATTTCGTTCCGGAGTCATACAGAAAAGCGGCGAAAATTGAGTAATCCGTTAATGTGCTATATCAAAAACGAAGCTAATTCTGAATATAAGATAACGCGATTTCTTTTAACTATGATTTTCCAAAAAAACCTGTCCCTAAAAACCTTCACTTGAATCGAATTCCATCACTCTTTAGCAATTCATCTAATTGTAAGGGGATACTGCTAATATTTTTTGGCAGCTTTATGTTTTGAGGTGTCGTAACCACTCCGCTGCAAGGCTAATACCCTATCGCTCATGTAGATTTAGCCTTGCAATTTTTTGGAATTATAAATAGTGCACACCTATTATCATAGTCCCAATTTATTTATACGATAATTTCGAATCCTTTATAACGATGAAGCAATTATTTTGACAAATACCAAGGTGTAATCATATCATCTTGAAGTGCAATTTTTTATATCTAGCGCCTGAGTCAATTGTGAATTTCTTCTCAACGAAACGATGAAACAACATTTTTCACTGGTATAAAAGGAATGTTATTTGTTGCTTTTCGGATTCACCCCGATGAAGACTTCCACTCGTCTCTTCGAAACACCCAAAGAATTTTATCAAAGTTGACGCAGGTGCCATCTATAGTTTTGCCACACAGGCTTGATATAAGCTTCATTTGGACGTGCACGTTCCTGTATTAATGCCTTTCTCAGAGGCCATGTAGTTAGTCTCACTCAAAATCACTTTATAAACGCTCGTCTCTCTTTAGCAAAAACTTTCTATCACGGAAGGGTTTTTATTTCGACATACGATGGCGATTTGTGAAAGAGACTGCGGCGATCGGCGCATTGCGCAATTGAAACGCGCATAGTATATTTTCCCTCTTTTTTGGATGGTTCGTTTCGAAAAACACAACTCTCTACAGAGTGAACGAACTTTTGACCCAAAATACAAGCATAATCAAAGGAATGTTCAGAGTTTGGTCTAGCCAATAAACGAGCTGTATGTATATCATCGTACTCGCCTTGAAACGCTGATCTTAACATATGTTTATCCTCTGCTAACGACTATCTGGGAGGAGTTATGAGAGCTTATTGAGTCCCTACAAATAAAGTTCGTTAAAAGAGAGCCTACGCCAAATATCAGGTACTCTGATTACAGTGTCGAAGCACACACATCATTACAAACCCAAATATTTGTTTTCAAAACGTTTTCCGTGGAAAAATGCGATTGAGAATGCTTGACAAGTTCGCACTTTAAATCTGACTCCTTTCAGAAAGTCGTTGAGTCGATAGTGGACATGTATTTGGAAACATCGTTTCAAGGCAAGTGCGACGACATATAGTAGCTTGTTTGAAATGGCCAAATCAAGTTCTGACCTCCCTGTCAGCTTGACAAAGTGCATCATTGCAAAAATACAGAAATACCATAGCCTGTCAAGGTGTAAATGCTAGGTAATGAAATCCACAAACAAATTTTTCGCAGATAGATTACCTAATGTGACAATAAAATTTCGCATTCTCATTTTCTTATTGTTAGATAGATTACGCAATGTGCTGACAACGACATTCCGCACGTTTGTTGTTAGTCTCACAATGTAAGGGTACCGCGGGAATACGGTAATGATCCCCCTAGCACGTATATGTCTCGAAAATTGCAAAAGGTGCTATTCAGCACCCCGACTGCAATGATTACATCTCTTTGCTGCTGTAATCAAATGTAAGGATTCGAGAGGAGAACTTGTTTCATCAAATATTGCCTATGAAAATTTCCCACCTACAAAAGATATTGATATACGCTCGTGCATGCAAATGAGGATGAAATAATGAGTAGAGAAACAAATAACAAAACTTTGTACACTCTAAAACGGCACGACAAATCATCATTCTTAAGTGATTATGGTTTGATAAGAGCTGCATTATATGCTTAGCAATGCAAGAGATAACTTTTTTACCATTTTGCTATTTTGCTCTTCTTGTTCTTTTCAAAGTTATTAACGCCCCAGCAATGTTTTGTATTTGACTATAAAACTGTCAGAGCTGCATTATATGCTTAGCAATGCAAGAGATAACTCTTTTACCAATTTGCTCTTCTTGTTTTTTTATGAAGTTATTAACGCCTTAGCAATGTTTTTATTATATATGACTATAAAACTGTCACCGACGGCCACATTGTAATTGTGACGAATATGTGTTTAGTTTCATCGAGAGATAGCAGACGATTCAGAACAACTTTCTTCTTCTTCCCAGTTTCATATTCGAGCAAAACTGCTTTTTGATAATACCATAATTTACATTGTGTTATAGCCTTTGATGGAGCAGCTACGATGATAGAGTTTCCCCCAATGAAGAACTTGGAAAGTTTTGAAAAATCTATACGATTTATCGGTTACCCGTTTGTGAATTAGATACATAGTCAATCTGAGTTGACATTATTATGCTAGCCATCAACTTTTCTTTAAGTTATCAAAAAGCAATTTTATACTTCTTATAAACATTGCTATAACATTGGATGACATTAAGTCCTTAACACACAAAGAACGAGGTGATGAAAGAATGCTAATCTTTTGACACTTACAGCAGAACTGGACCACTTGATTGCTATCAAAAAGGTGCTAAACAGTGCTATCTTGATTTTATGTTTTTCTTTTACTAATTCGCGCACAGATTGATGTGCATAACAGTTTAATTTCCAGAAAAGAGTATGCCGACTCAAAATCACTTAGTAAGCATCATATCACTTCGTTCTCACAAGGGAACGATACTTAGTGTCCGTGGCCTTTTGAGATGAAATGTGTACCAACACACTCACCTTCGAACGCTGATTCTAATTCTGGTTTCCGTTTCTGCTGAGCGTTTCTCTGAAAGAAGTTATGAAGGATTTTCGCGCCAAATTTGGCCTCCAGAGATAAGATAGGAACACCATTACCGCCGGTAGTCGTGTAGTAGTGGCTAGTGCATTAGCCTCACACTGAAGCAGGTGTAGGTTCAGATTCTTTTGTATTTTTCAGTTTTGCATTGCCTCAATTAAGCTTTTTTTTTTTGAAAGCCATTAAACTTCTTTTTGAGAATCAGATTTCCTCGAGGTAAATGCATGTACTTACTCGTTGAAAATTCAACGAGGATTCATTTTTTACGGGTGTTTCCTATATTTATTCCAAGAGGTGCCTAGAAAAATGAAAATGAACGAAAATGAATGCATGTTAACATGTTACCATGTTCGTGTTCCTATCGTACTATGTGCCTCGCGCGGCCAAATTTGGCGCGAAAATCCTTCATAACTTCTTTCAGAGAAACGCTCAGCAGAAACGGAAACCAGATTTGGAATCAGCGTTCGAAGGCGAGTGTATTGGTATACATTTCATCTCAAAAGGCCACGGACACTAAGTATCGTTCCCTTGTTAGTGCGTTCTAGAGAGTGAATGCTATTAAACGTCATAGCATATCTATGACCTATATATAAAGCAGGAAGTCTGTATGTGTTTTCAGTAATATATTAGGTTGTCCGGAAAATGATGTCGCATGACATCCTACCGCGACAGAATGACCATAAAAAATAGCGAATGGGGTATCATTTGATAGAGCAAAGAAAGCCCTACAAGATAGTTCACAAAACTATGCGGAAATCCTGCTCCACCTGAAGTTCAAATCCAAAATGTAAAAATTTTTAGATATCCGAAAAATCGTATCTCGGTTCATAGACGTCTTATGGATCTCCAATTTGCACAAGCATGTACTCTCTACACTAGACATTTACCTGCATAGTTTGTGGTATTTTTCCTTGGCAACAGTACGAGAAATAAAAATAGGTCAAAAGTGCGAATCTGTCGCGTTTTTCGGGTTTTTTGCAAACAATTTGATTTTTCTCGAAAACTGGCGCTTGTCTAAAGCTGAAAAATCATGGTTATACTCCTAAAGGTTCATGCTACAGAATCACGCATGTGAGAGAAGCTCAAGATTGTTTTGGCAAAAATGTGCCGAATTTCGTTTTCTCAATTTTCAGCCATGGAAAAACCGCGAAAATGTGCATACATGTGTCTCGTATAGTGAGTCCACGCGTGAGCAAGTTAGGGGTTCCCAGGGCGTTTCCAAACGGAGATACGATTTTTTTTTCGTTTTTTAGATCTTTAGTGCCTTGTGAAATTTGGCTCCAAACTCCACGCAAATCAAACCTGGCGCAAAGGCTCGAGCTTCATTTTGTAGAGCTTGTTTTGGT